AAAAGATTACTTTCAGTAAAGAAATTGTTAATCATATAATCATACTTCTTTAACGTGATTGTATGCTCTATATAATTCCTTCTTCACTGCCAGATGTTCAGTTGGGCCTAAACAAGTACAAAATGGTCGTATAGTCTCACGTCTCATACGTCTAGAAAATGGCATATGCGTTTTATATACTTTTTTCTTTCTTGTTCATCTTATTTTTCTCGATAGCAAACGAAGTAATATGTAGTTTCTTGCTTATAATAAGTGACTAAAAAATTTAGTTGCAAATAAAATATTCTCATCTATCTACTTTCATATGTTGCATTGTGGTTCGATTTCACTACAGTGGTCAGCATTCTAAAAGTACACTTTGAGTCTAATTATGGTTATGATTAACCTGATGCAGTACAGTCTAAGTGCATCTAGGCTGATATATTTTGCAGCCAGAAAAAATGTGCTATATGGAATTTTTTTTTATAACTCTTGAAAAGTTTATATGAAACGTCTACATACATGTTATTTGGATGCGTTCGTATCTCTTCAATTAAAGATTTATCTGAAATCATTCTTCTCAGACGGGATTTAATCATTCAATAGGCCGCAATAAATTTAGAAAACATTGCTAATCGAACACATTGCTGAAATCGAAGGTAGAATCGTGACAATATTAGAAACTTAATGAAATGAGATTAGAATTTTGATAGTCGCTGCTTTATTCTAGTCTTCTCTTATTATTTATTTGAAACCGATGATAAATAGATTCTTGGTATCTGCGAATACCTAGAAAGTTCTAGAGAATAAACTTTTTTTAAAAAAATCTTCTTAAGCGCGTCGCAAAGTTTAAGTTGACCACAGCGATTATCAAAATCACAACAAGAACTGGCAAAATCTCTAAGTGTAATGATGATTTTAAGTTGACTTTCAAGTCATAGACAATTCACAATGGCAAACTTAACATATGGAAGTAAAATCCATATTGAGAAAACATCTTTTTTTGAACTGCTTCATCATGAGAATAGGCGATCGATACTATCGTCCGTATTTGAATATAACAAAAAACGTGTTATAGCTAAAAAACAAGACAGATTCATTTCTTTATATTTATTAATAAACTATATTACTGACTGATTTGTTCTCTAGTAGTGAACTTCAATGACTTATGTCAATAATATAGACTGATGATTGAATAGACATATATTTTCTTAGTTCTCATTGTGACTGATGTTCATTCGAACTATTGAAAAGAATGTAAAGCTTATTAGCAAAAACTTTTTAGGCTCTTTAAACAAACTGATTCTCTATGAAATTTCTATAAAAAAAAAAAAAAAAGGTTAAACTTGATCATCACCATGCATTTGAAATAATAGTTTATGATTCTTTTCTAACATTTCTGTTAGTGACAAAAATTGCAGTCGAATAATTGCTAATCAAAGTCTCAACAATTCTTCCTAGAAAACGATAATCTAAATGAGAGATCTATTCCTTCTTGCTAAAAACATCATATTGAGTTAGATTTCAAGTACTGAATTATGGTTAACAAAACAGATTTTGTTATGTTCAAGTCTCAATTCAACAACTGATACTAATAAAGAAGAATCTATTTTCAGGAAGAGCCACTTGTCTCTTCAATATATGAATTAAATGACCTGCATGTAACTATTTCTATGTTGCTAATTAACAATTGAACATTCATTTTTTTTTGCTTATAAACCTATTTTTAAAATAAATCAATGCAACAAAACTAACTACTGAGTATTCACCAACGCAAAAGAAAAAAACATTCTCGTTTTTTTTTGATACTGTTTAGTTTAGGTGAATGAAATATCTAGAAAACTGAAAGCATGAATAATCATTTTAAGTCACATCACTCTGTACAGAATTTGACTGTCAACATTCTAGCTTTTGATTTTTCCTATGTTGATGATTCGGCATGTTATCTTAAGATGAGTTATATCTTTTGATTCATCTAGTAAAACAACATCATTATTTGTCTTCTCTATTCACCATCATTCTCATCACACTTACAGAAACGAGTTGCATAAACACGATTCCTACTCTGTAATTTTATGATAATCGCGTTGTTGAAATTTTAATCTCATCGTTCTAAAGGACACCAAAGAACGTCAGATAAGACGTCTTCGTTGTGACTTATACATAGAATTTTTCATCGTACAAAAAAGTTTCAAATAAAGACTCACTTTCATGTACGACGGCAGACATACTAAATACTTTTGTATGTATTGAAGTTAAATATTAATTCGTAACTTGTAAGTTACACTGAGTTACCGTGTAATGATCGTTGTAATCAAGATTCACTGTATGCTAGATGCAATAAATCTGAAATAGAAATATCATGTTGTTTAAAATTCGGTGAACAATGCTCGTTCACATTAGTGACAAAAGATGATATCAGTTCTACATCAAACATATTGTCTCAGAGAACGTAGGTGTGATCAATGAAATTACTATCTAATAAACATTTATGAAACGATGATTCACAAGAATATTTGATCATTAGGATCGATTTTATATCGATCTCAATCGTGTCCAATGTGCAAGTCATATTAGTATTATGTGTGAATTATTTAATAATCTTGTTTTTGCTTTTCATATTACTCTAAAAAAGTCACTCACTACAACAAAATGAACAAAAAACCAAATATATGTAGAAAATTTTGTGTTGCAAACCTGTTGATGATATTTGGTGTTGTATATGTAGCACTATTTGCTTGTTTTATCGGTTGATTGGTTTTTTTTTAACCTTCACAACAAGGTAAATTTATTCGTTCTTTTATCGTTATTCTGTCTAGATTTTTTTCTTTTTTTTGTTACACTCTCTATCGATAACAGGCTTAGACAAGATGCATACATAGACTTGTGCATCACAAAACATGTGCACGAGACGATAAGGCTGAGTGATTTGCAAGATATGGATGATCAAAAGAGAATAGAAAGAATAGATTGCTTTTTATTTTGAAACCTGTAATATGTTATATTCATGTATCTATATATAATTAAGCAGTCTCAAAAAAAAAATTCAATACTTATTTTCATATACCAATTGATATCGATTTATTACTATTGTGCACACTCATCTTCGTATATGTCCTAGTAAAAATTGAAGTTTAGATATAATTAAACTTAGACAGAATTTGTTTTTCATTAGGCGCACAACTACGAAATAATTTTCTCTTTTTTAGTCCTTAAAATAAATTTAAATTCTCGTTTACATTAAAGAACCATGACATCCACTTGTTTTTTTTTTGAACTCGATAGTAGTCGTTTTCATTAATTCACATTGGTGCATAGTAGACTGACAAAACGATTGAACCCTTTTCAGAAGAGCATTCAGAAAGGTTTAAAGATCGCTAAGGTCCTGATATTTGAATTCAGTGTAGTGAACTGCATACATTCGTGTATGTTTTTACGAAATTGCGATTGATCACTTGAGAAACCTTCCTCGTTAGACTAAACTTTGTCAATTTCATTTCTTCAATAATATATATTATAGAGTCAAAAACTCGATGAAATTTCTCTATCGTATGGAATATGGGTAAGGGTGAAGACAACACTCACCTCCCACATTCTGTTCTATCATCCAATTAACATGGTAAATAGAATAATGGCGGAAAAAAACTTATTGTATTATCTGAGACGATTTCATATTCAAAAAAAATTCAATTAGTATTACAGAGAGAGATAAGCTGAGAGAACAAACACACGACATGAAGGATTATGCAAATTAGAATCAAGTTTTTGTCTTATACAATATTACAAAAATTACTTTAGTAGATACGTCATTCTCGGGAAAACAGTTTTTCATAAGAACAGTCTAATGATGTAGTTAGTAGCTAGCATAGATTGCTAATATCTCGAGTACGGGTTTAGGACAGTTGCTCGCCGGACATTTGCTCGTTATGGCACTTGCTCGTAAAAATGCTTCGAAGTAAATATTTGTATGAGATATACGAAAATATTCTTTAATCGTCCACGACATTTAAATTTTCTGGCATGTTCGCATTTTCATAATATTTTCTTGTCGTTTCGTTTACCATTAATGTAAGAATATCCGTCGTAAATAAGTAACGGAGCGTTTTTCGATGTTGTTGAAAGAGTAACTGATATGGTTGTTTTCTTAATGCACTGTTCTACGACTGACACTGCTTTTTATATGATTGTGATGATTAAATACGACTATTCTTTATAAAGACCATGATCGTCAATGTGCTCTACAAACAGTCTATTAGTTGAGTCAATTTTGTTCTGAATTCTTTCATTGACAATAAAGAGTCATTTCACTCGCGAGCAACTGTCCTAGCGAGCAATTGTCCAGCGAGCAACTGTCCGGATCCCCTCGAGTACTCTTTTTTTGAAAGAAATTGTTATCATATATGCGACACTTTGTTTTTCGTCGCTATTAAGATAATCTGTCATAAGCGAAATAAAAAGTACTGAAACTTTATTCATAAAATATTCTTTAACAAAGTAAAATCGCTTTTGACAAAAATACATCATTATATAATTGTTTCATTGTTCGAATACAAAAGTTAATATCTTTTGTAATGAATAGTATGTTATTAAAATCGAGCGAATGATGCGCTTGGGATTAGTAGTTGTGCAATACTTAAATAGAAAAAGAGTTCGAAAATTAAAGTTATTACGATAGGAATGATATTCGTACCGTCTGGAAAAATAAATATAAGTACCAACTGCTATTCCACTAGTTATTACCATACCAAAACCTAAACCGAGACCTAAACCTAATTTTACTTGTCTTAATTCATCTTCAAGATCTTGACAGGTTGGTTTTGATAAACTAGTAGTTGCTGTTGGAGGTGATGATGTTGCAATGGTTGTAGTAGGACAATGTATGCTAGTATTGGCGCCCGTTACACAATCCTCTTGCCAGCATATATCAAAACAGCGTGTAGTTGTAGTTGTCGTAGTAGCTAATAAAAATATAATATACATATGTATGAATCATCGATCTGCTCAGAATTTGACATTATTATATGACTAGCTTGATAAAGTAGGCAGAAACATTTCAACTTTACATAAATATTTATACATAGAGAAAAAATGTGTATCTTATAGACTAAATGTATCAGTTTTCGTTTAAGAGTTACTCAACTCTTTCGAGAATAATAGATAATTGTAATAACAGCAACAACATATTTGACATACAAGAAAATTTCTATTGAAATACCAATTAGAAAGTAAAGTTGATTAACAGATCCGTTAACCGTCAATGTTTTTTGTTCCTTTGCAACTTCAAGTTCAATAGAGAATAACTGTGATGATTTTATATTTGTGTTACCTAAGAGATTATTTTATTCGCATTCTCACTGTAAGTGCAAATACTTTTATTCAGGTAACTTACTGCGATTCGAGATTCTTTTTTTTGTTAAACCTACTTGTAGTCGTGGTCGTCGTAGTTGTGGTTGTCGTAGTTGTGGTTATCGTAGTAGTCGTAGTGGTAGTGGTAGAAGTAGTACTAGTACTGGTGGTGGAAGTACTTGTACTTGTAGTCGAAGTGCTGGTGCTAGAACTGCTGGTACTAGAACTTGTGGTGCTAGTACTGCTGGTAGTCGAAGTGCTGGTGCTAGAACTGCTGGTACTAGAACTTGTGGTGCTAGTACTGCTGGTAGTCGAAGTGCTGGTGCTAGAACTGCTGGTACTAGAACTTGTGGTGCTAGTACTGCTGGTACTAGAAGTGGTTGTGCTAGAACTGCTTGTAGTCGAGGTACTGGTAGTCGAAGTCGAAGTTGATGATGTTGAACTTGATGAGGATGTACTTGTAGATGTACTAGTTGCTTTTTTTAAAGAAAAGAATATGCATGGGTAAAAACTGATCAAAAATGCATTCATAATTGATTTTATCGAAGAAGTATCAAATCGTTAATGTGAATTTTATAATTCGAACTTTAATGATTGTTGAGCGACAAAGAAAATTTTGAAAAGAACTCTATCAAATTTGAAAGATAATTGAAATCTGTATGATAGAAAAAAAGAAAAACTATCTATGATGCAATTTGTTACGATTTAAAAAACTAGCTAACACGTTTTTCTCAGCTAATATTAATGTACACTTTCATTTTTCGAAAAGAATTAAAATAAATCTTAAATAAAAAAAAGAAAATTTCTCGATTACCAATGAAAGCTCGTATTCAAAGAGTTTTACATATGACAACAATTTTGACTTTATAGTTCATTCTATTTACTTGAGGATGTAGTTTCGGTTGATGTTGTAGAGGTTGATGTTGTAGAGGTTGATGTAGACGTTGTAAATGTTGTTGTTGACGTCGTCGATGTAGTCGTAGTTAATGTTGTTGATTCTGAAGTTGTTGTGGTCGATGTATCTGTAGTAGTTGTAAATGATGTTGTTGATGTTGTCGTTGCAGAAGTTGTTGTTGTTTCCGTTACTGTTGTAGTTGATGCAGAGGTCGTTGATGAGGTTGTTGT